ATTAGGCAAGCATTTTGATACTTATATAGTCATTTATATAAAAGGTTGTTGATCGATAGTTATGAATTTGGACAGAGCAAAATTGGAAACGGTGGTTGAGTTGTAATCAAACAGGCAAGTTTAATCTTACTTTATCTGTCTAAATCATCATTTCTTTAATTATTAGTGCATTATTCAACTCTTTATATCGATATACGTATAGATTCATTAATTATTAGAGTTTCTTTTGAGTTATTATTCCGATCTGATTTTGTGTATTTGGAGTTTTTACATTTTCTCACTATTTGGAGTATAGTTTCTTTGTAAGGAAGGGGTTGTTGGAGGACTATGTAACCCATATTGTTAGAATTTTATAAAATTCTACTAGATTAGAATTAGATTATAATTGTTTTGGATACGCATGTATATGTAAATGAAGTCTAGGAGAGTGATCATACCATACATATAGAATTAGTGAATGTGTAATGGGATATAGTTGTTTCACAGATTGAAGATAAGCTTGTCTCACATGGTAAGTAACTGTCTCATTGGGTGATCCTTCCATACAAGGATATGATGTGTTCCTATCTATTATGGATTATCACATGTATTATTGGTTGAATTCCCCACATAGTGTGTTGAAAAATTTGGATTTGCTCCTTACTTTATATTAGAGGTTGGATTCGTTCCCTACCTGTGTATGTGGTTGCAAGTGATTTTTACATATGAGGTTTAATATGTTCTTTTATTGGAGTTGGAATTTGATCCCTTTAAATGAACAATGAAAGTGAGACTTCTTTATTTAGATGCAATTATTTAGTTAATCAAGTAGATATATTATCTAGTGTACCTTTATTTACCAAAGTGAGGTAAGATTATTACTTGTTAAGCAATGATCTTGCTAAGCTTGTGCGCTCACCCCATTTTAACATTTCAAGTACTTGGTGGTTGTAGAGTTGGCGTTGAGGACCAGAGCAATTCAGAGTTTCTATTTTTTTTAGTTGTAGAGAGACTTTTATTTTAAGGATTTTATGTAATTACATGTTGATTTGAGTAATGTATTGTGGAATGATTTTTAGTTCGCACCCATATTGAGTATTGTAATCAGATGTATTTGTATTCGAATTTTGGGGTGTGACAGATTGATATCAGATCTAGTACCTAGCCGAAAGTTTGGTGATAGTGACGATGTAGACGGTATGAGTGGGCGGGTGAGGTGCACTGGCAAGCTACCATACTTGGAAACAGGTCACAGTATCCCACACCGCCTGTAAGAAATGGTGTTTATATGGAAACGAGAGAATTATAAATTTCGAGGACGAAATTTCTTAAAGGGATGGAAAATGTGACAACTCAGATTTTATTTAGACTCTTAAGTATAATTAATTGTTTGATTAATTATATTGGAGACTTTATTATAGTAATTAGCAGTTTTATTTCATTTTTGGAGATGGTTACAGATTTGATTATATAATAATAAATGAGTTAAATTTGAGGCATTTGTGAGATTATTGAAACTAGTGGTGGAATGTTAATGTGATTAGAGTGCACAGTGGAAGCGTGTAGATGATGTAGGAGTGTAAGGCGTATAAGACATGATGTTGTGTATTGTCACTAGAATATCAAAGAAGCTTTAGATATCTATAACTTTATAGATTCTTATAGATTAACATATGGTTATATATGTATATTGGATAGTTTGTAGTAAGGTTCTAGAGAGAAGTAATCTTGACCTGACATTTGATTGCATTTTAGTTGTTTACCAAGGAATAGTATGCCTATATAAGGTTATAATCCAAAGATGGGATAGAGGAGTTGGGGGTAGAAACTACAGTTTGGAAGAATACATTTTACAATTTTGAGGACAAAATTATTGTTAAGGGTGATAGAATGTAACATCTCGAATTTTTGTACGTATAGTCATATATATATATATATATATATATATATATATATATATATATATATATTTATTTATTTATATGTATATATATTTATATGTACGTGGTTTAGTGGTTAAAAGTGTCTATAATATGATTATAATAGTGGAACTTTAAATTTATCATGTTTTTAAGTCCGTATAGAAGTATTATAGACATGGTAGATTTTCAGTTATTATTAGACCGTGTTTGGGTTGTGTTTGACGTGTTTGGGATTCAATTATTATACTGAATTGCATTTTTGAAAGTGGATTAGGATATTGACGATAGTGACACGTTATGATCCTACTATTAAGGTACGTTGCCTATTTCCTCTAACCAAAAGATTATCAAGCGAGATTTAGTTTAGAACATGAGGGTTTTATGAGAAACGATTAATTGTTTTTGCAAATGATAAGTTGCAGAGAGATTATAACTTGAATGTTTTACAATCAAGGAGAATTATCAGGCAAGCATTTTAATATTACTGTTATATAGTGTTATATAGTCATTTATATAAAAGGTTGTTGATCGATATTTATGGATTTGGACAGAATTTGTACAGAGCAAATTTGGAAACGGTGGTTGAGTTGTAATCGAACTGGCAAGTTTAATCTTACTTTATTTGTCTAAATCATCATTTCTTTAATTATGGGTGCATTATTCAACTCTTTATGTTGATATACGTATAGAATCATTAATTATTAGAGTTTCATTCGAGTTATTATTCTGATATGATTTTGTGTATTTGAAGTTTTTACATTTTCTCACTATTTGGAGTATAGTTTCTTTAAGGAAGGGGTTGTTGGAGGACTGTGTAACCCATATTGTTGGAATCTTATAAATTTCTACTAGATTAGAATTAGATTGTAATTGTTTTGGATACGCGTGTATATGTAAATGAAGTCTAGGAGAGTGATCATACCATACGTATAGAATTAGTGCATGTGTAATGGGATATAGTTGTTTCACAGATTGAAGATGAGCTTGTCTCGCATGGTAAGTAACTGTCTCATTGTGTGATCGTTCCATACAAGGATATGATGTGTTCCTACTTATTATGGATTATCACATGGATTATCACATGTATTATTGGCTGAATTCCCCACATAATGTGTTGAAAAGGTTGGATTTGTTCTTTACTGTATATGAGAGGTTGGATTCGTTCCCTACCAGTGTATGTGGTTGCATGTGATTTTTACATATGAGGTTTAATGTGTTCTTTTACTGGAGTTGGAATTTGATCCGTTTTAATGAACAGTGAAAGTGAGACTTGTTTATTTAGATATAGTTATTTAGTTAATCAAGTAGATATATTATTTAGTGTACCTTTATTTACCGACGTGAGGTAAGATTATTACTTGTTGGGCAATGATCTTGCTGAGCTTGTGAACTCACCACATTTTAACATTTTAGGTACTTGGTGGTTGTAGAATTGGTGTTGATGACTAGAGCAATTCAGAGTTTCTATTTTTCTTCGTTGTAGAGAGATATTTATTTTAAGGATTTTATGTAATTTCATGTTGATTTGAGTAATGTATTATGGAATGATTTGTAGTTCACACCCATATTGAGTATTGTTATCAGATGTATTTGTATTCAACTTTTGGGGTGTGACAATTGCAAAAAAGACTTCCTTTCACCTTTGATATTTCTTCATTCGTGCCATCAATCCATTGTATCGTATTACATAAGTAAAATCTTATTTTAGTGGGTTCTACCACTACGTGTCGATATTTAATTAGTAGGTGATATCATATCACTAATATAACCGAAGCAATAAAGTTTTTCTCACTCGTTACTTTTTATTTAAATTGGTAGGAGAAAGAAAATGGAAGAAGTGAAGGAATCATGGAAGAGACCTAAACAGAAGAGGAAGAGGAAGATGGGTTAGATGGGTCTGTTGTGAGGCGGTAGAGGTTTACGCCTACGGAGGTTAGTATGCAAATTTTTTAAGTTCAGTTGGATATTAGTGTGGATAAACTGATGATGATTTGTGATAAATTGATGATGATAGATTTGTACTTTAGTCTGAGCTTTTCTTTGTCCCATCAAAACAGCCATTAAGACTGGCGCTAACAAGAGGTGGTCCCTAAAGAAATTTTATTCAAGTAAGCTGATATTCCCCGTAAGTCCAATTGACAGCACATCACTTACAAGGAAGGTTCATGTGATAAGTTTTGCTTTTGAAGGGAGATTTGAATAAATTTTCTATTCGAGTAGGTTTGTATAATTATGATAAATTTCAAAATAGATGAGTGTAATTTATTCTTAAAAAATCACTAAGTTTCCTAAATAGTCAAAAGAATAGCTAATCAAACAAAAAATTTTGATCGAATTAAATCATAAGTCTCTAATTTAAAGTTAATATACTACTTTTTATTCGCCACTGAACAGTTTGGACACTAATTGTGTATGCATGTCCTCCGTATTAATGAGTATTTTATGCATTTCTAGTTTGCAGGTGGCCTATGGTGAGGTCCATAATTACGTGATTGCAGCCGTACCAAAGACAAAAAGGATGGCGGCTTGCATCGATCACATTAATGACTCCTTTTCAGTTTTCATGGACTTGCGAATTGTGTGGTGTTCACGAGTCCCAAATTGAAAGCCAATTCTTTTTTTTTTTAAAAAAAAAAAAAAAATTAAAATTTAAAATTAAAAAAAATAAATTTGGGTGCAAACAGTTTAGTTTATGTTTGCCTAAAACATGCGAGTTCATTTACTAAATTTTAACAAACACTAAAATTGTTGCTCAAATGGGATAATTAAAAAACTGCTTACTTTTGTCTGGTCAGATTTAATAATTCCATCGGAAAATTTGAATCACTTGTTACCCAGCAATCCTGTTTTCATTTTTCTGCTTTTTAATGAGCAATTGGATTGAAAAACAAACAAAGAATCCGAAATACACAAATTCAAATTTCTAAAGCCCAAATCAGAGAAATGAACTCTGTGTACAAATTCATATACGTAAAGCACAAAAAAAAAATGGCAAAACAGGGATCACAATATATATGTATCCTACTCTCTGCCCCTCAAACAAAAAGAAAAAAGATATAAACCTTGGAAAATAAAGTCACATGACATAAAAGCATAACATCATTTGCAATTCAGATTCTGGAGCTGCCCGCTTTGGATATGAAAGTCCATGGTGCAATTCATATTGGTAGCTTTCTTCTTCTTCATCACCAGCATTAGCTCCACCTTTCCTGTCAATCTTGATGAGCTGCTCAGCTGCAAAATCCCAGAACCGTAATCAGTTGCCAAGTCTGAACTGGTTGATGATAGGTTTATAGTAACATTGAACCTCTTGGTGGATTGAAATTTAGCCGTTGACTTGGGAACAGAAGCACTCCCCACTTGTGTACCCTTGTAGAAGAAGGTAATGGTACTGTTGTCGAATTTGTAGGGACCGAAATTCGTGTTCTTGACACCAAGTCGAGCATTCATTTTCATTTCCAATGACGATGCCGAGACATTATATGTCTCAAATGAGGCAGCAGCCACGCGAAACTTGGGGCGTTTCACTTTCAGGACTGTGAGTGCAAAGATCGCTATAACAATGGATTGAAACACGATAAACGCAACAATATATAGAAGAAGTTTCTTGCGTTTCTGGCGTTTAAGATGGTCTGCCATTAATCTTCTGACAAGGTTTAGAGAGAGAGAGAGAGAGAGGGGGGATTTTGCTTGTTCACTGATAGGTGTTTGAAGGAAATGTTGATGGGAGAGGAGTGGTGGTTGGTTATTATATATAAGAAAATATATTTAAATGGTTGTAACGATAGGTGTTTGAAGGAATTATTGGTGGAACTGGTGGGACGTGGGATTGTAAGCAGCCATATACGAACGATCATATTGAAGAAAAGTCAAATATGGAACACTTATTAAACACTGATTAATTAAGGTTGGACATTATTTATCAATGTGGAATATGTGGTCAAAAGAGTCTGAACTTTAGCTATCAATGTGGAATATGTGGTAAATAGAAATCTGACTGCTGGATTTGGCGCTTAGCGGACCAGTAGTAGATGCTTCTATGTGGAAAAAAATGGCTTGGCCACATACTTGCATTCTAGAATTTCTACGCAAAATAAATTAAATAAATAAGAATTGATGTCATCATAAGACTGCAAGTGAGTAAAGTCTTAAATCTCCCGCACTATAACCTAAACGATGTAATTTACTAAGTGTCGTCATAAGAAACATGCTCTTAAGCATATGTATCAAAACATATTTTAGAGAAAATTATATTATAATAATTTTATATATTTTTTTAAATTTAAATCATATACTACTACTTCAACAGTATAACCCCTTAACTATCAAATTTCGGCACAGTCACTGAGTATTGGGATCAGTTATTGTGATCGATATTGAGAGGAATGAGAAAATTGCGGTTGAATTGTAAGCCACAACTGTCCCTTTGCATGACCAAGATCGGGTTTGAAAAAAGTGTCATCCCATCTCGAAGTACACAGTCGAATTGAGAAGGAATCACTTGGAAAATATTGTCACCTTTACTACTACGACCAACAAAAGTCATTCATATTCTTGGTGTTGGGTTTGTGGAGCCCGATCTTTTTGGGGGAGCTCAAAGAAATTAAATATTTTTAAGGAAAAGAGTTAGGGTGATTTTGATGTGATGTAACCCTAATACCAAGTCTATTTATTTCATAGTTGGCTACACAACAATTTGAGAGAGAATGGCTTGTAATAGTGTATTAATTTATTATTCCATTTTTTTAAAATTAAAGAAACTAACGCGAGCCATGAACTAGACAATATTGTCAAACCCCGCACAATGTCAATGTTGTGATTTTTTTTTTCTGTTTTGTTTTGTTTTGTTTTGTTTCCCAAATGATTTGTTTATGTAAAATGTTTTTTTTATATACTTTGTGCTTATTATCATGTTTTTTTTCTCAACAATTGGTATCAAATCGAGGTTACGCATATTGACAGAAGATGAAAAAGTGAAGATCAAAAGGTTCAATGGTTCGAACTTCGGCTTTTGAAAGATGTAGATATATAGAAGACTATCTCTATTAGAAGGATTTGTATCAACCTCTCTCGAGAAAGAAACCAGATACTATAAAAGATAAAGATTGGGTTATACTTGATAGGAAAGCCTTGGGAACATTGAGTCTTTTGAGATATATATTTTGTAATTAAAAATTTTCGTTGTCAAAACAAGTCCGATCGAATCTAAATTTGATTTCAAAATTTAAATTTGAGATCGGAAGCGGAATTGAAGAGTTGCTCGTGATCAAGAGTCTGAGAACTATGATGAGGTAAAAACACCACCTTATGAAGTTAAGTTAGAAAGTTAGGACACTTATATACATTGTACATTTTTCAAAAATGAGCATTGCTGAAATTTTTAGAGTGTTTATGCTTTTAGTTCAGGTCTAGCCAACTTGAACCAGTTCAAGACAGCTGAACCATTTCAAAATATAAAGCTTTGTTTTTAAAAAGAACACTGGTCAACTTGAATCAGTTCAAAGCAGCTAAACCAATTCAAGTATTTCAACAGTTTTAAGTAACTTGTTTCCTACTTTGTTTTAAACTTCCTATTTTGCATAGACTTTCTTCCAAAAACCCATGCACAAAATTAACTTATTTTTCAGGTATAATTAGGGTTTTGAAAGTATATAAACATATTTTTTTCATCTAGGTTTGTGTGGCTTTTTGCATTAAAATTCTTATTTTCATTAAAAGCCTTTTTGGTGAGAATTTTAAGACCATACACACTATATACACACGAATGAATTTAGGATGTTGTTCATATCCTGATTGTGTTCGAGTCTATTGAAGTCTGCATCTGCAACGATAAGAGAAAGCATATCTTATTTCTGCTACATCAAATTTAGATTCAAACAAGAATAATTTCATATAACATTTTGAAGGGATCAAGGCTCTTATGGAGTGTTGTTGATCTACCAACAATCCTTTTACAAGGTTCGAGGCATAAGTATGAAGTCGAGAGCTATTGGACAAGAAGTTGTAAAGTCAAAGACGCTCAGTAGATTAAGTCTTGGTAAAGCGAAGGGGTTTGAGTCTGAGTCAAAGTTCGGTGTATTTTGCTTCATACATAGTGGATCTATTTACGCTTGGGATAAAACACAAAACCTCGAGGTTTTCTAATTGGTTTCTTCACTAAAATCCGGTGTCACTCTAAACTTTACTTGCTTTTAAATTGTATGTGATTGTTTAATTAATCGGTAATTTTAGTGTAGTAAATTGAATACAGAAACACATGATTAAATCTTCTCTCAAAACAGTTAAAAAAACTCAAACTTTCCACAATCTATTCCACTGCACAACTCACAATTGGTATCAGAGACAAACTCTACACATTAAGTTGATCCTAGTGGAAAGTTTTTTTTTTTTTTTTTTAAAAAAAATAAAAAAATTTCTCTCATCATGTCTTATGTTTTGAAAGAGGGTGGATCTAATCAACGTAGTCCTTTATTCGAATGATGTCATTATAATTTTTGGGAATAAAAAATGAGAGCTTATTTGAAAAATTTAGGAGTTAAAGTCTGGACTATTGTTGAGACAGGCTATACACATCCGGCTAAGGAAAAGACACTGGATGGTAAGGTTGTTCAGGTTTTGAAGAATACTTCCACCTTCATTGCACTTGAGACTGAGCGTAATGATGCTAATGGAAAAGCTTTGTATACAATTATTAATGCTATTGTTCCATACGAATATGTTAGGATTTCTGATTGTAAAACTACTAAAGTCGCTTGGGATATTTTACAGGTCACCCATGAAGGAACATCGAAAGTAAAGCTATCCAAAATCCGGATGCTTTCTCATAAGTTTGGGAACATTGTGATGAAAAAAGATAAGACTTTTTCTGACTTTTATTATATTCTTCTCGAAATTATTTTTGAACTTCATCATTTAGAAAAAAGAGTTAGTGATAAGAAAATCTGTGAGAAAAGCTTGAGATCTTTACGTAAGAGATTTCAGATTACGGTAGAAACCATCACTGAACATTGGGATTTGTTTAGTGCTAATTAAAGTAGATGAAGTTGTGGGTTCTTTATATAAAATTTTTTAAGATACAGAATTTTAGTCAAAGTCAAAAAGAAAAAAATATGGCTTTAAAGTCAACTCAAGTTGATAACACTATTGATGATAATTCCAATGAAGATATGACATTCATAATTGCAAAAACAAAGTAGAAGGAATGGCAATGTGACCAATCCTCGTAATTTTGACAAGGGTTCAACTTTTAAGATTAATGAAAAGAAAGGAGAAGAATTTAAAGAAACTAAACTTATTTGCTAGAATTGTGGTGGCAAAGGTCACATTTTGACTGTTTGCCCTAGTCCTAAGAAAGAGTCAAAGGACAGGAATAAAGGAAAATCGATGAAAGTTTTAGTTTATGAGAATTCAACTCCTAGTGATAATGAATCATCTCATGATGATTGCAATGATTTCTTTTTTGTTGCTTTTCTTGATAAAGGTCCTCATGTTGCTACTTTGTCTGATTCTGATATTTCAGATTATGAAAATAACGAAGTCCATAATGAACAGGTTGAAGAGGATGGGATTGATGAAGAACAATTGAAAAAAAAAAAAAAATGTTTACAGAAATTGTGAAAGTTAAACTGGCTATCAAAATATTGGCAAAGGAACTTATTCAAGTCAAAGAAGAGAATGATGATCTGAGAAAACTAGTTAGTGAAGGTAAATTGAGGGTCTTTGAAGAAATTCACTCATCTCTGATCTCAAAGAAAAAGTCAATTCTCTTGAAGGCGAGGTAAGTATAGTTAACTCTATGAAATATTCTCTTATTTCTAAGATTGAATTTCTTGATTTTGAATTGAAGAAATCACAACAAAAGATGATTGCTTTTACTTATGGACAAGTCAAACTGAACAAGATGACAAATATTGGTAAAAATGTGAATGATAAAACAGGCTTAGGATTTGTTAAGGGCTTATCTAGTAATCAAGGTAAAATAATCTTTGTGAAACCTGTTAATTAAAACATGCCTGATCCTATATGGGTTTATTCATTGCATTCTAATATATTATGTGACTAATGTGTTGCATTGCACTTTTTGTGGTAAAATTAGACAAAACCAACATTATTACTTTCGCAAGAAAAAGAAAAAAATTTCTGATATTCATTATCATGGGTTTCATGCTAAGAATAAGGTGCATGTTATAAAGAATCAGAATTTTGTTCCACCAATAATTCCTAAGGTTAAAATTTTACATGAGAAGAAAGTCAAAATTGAAAAACCTTTTCAAAAATTGAAGGTGAAGTCGGTGTGGATCAAGAAAGGAGAGTTGGTCAACTATGTGCCGGTTGATTCTATGGAACTAATTTCCAATAGTTCATTGGGTACAAAACCCTTTAACTAAGTCCTAGGATGGTTGAGTGATCATGGATTCTGTTTATTGAAAATATGTTGCCATTTGGATCACTTTTTGAAAGTCTAGGGTTTGATTGTGGTTTTGAGGAAATAATGATCATATTTTTCTTGATGACATGTGTGAAAAATTCTTTCGGTTGAATATATGATTTGTCTTTGAATGCAAATTGGGACACATGATGATTTGATAAAAATAGATTCTTAGTTTGTAATCTATACAATGAAAAACAATTGGCTATGT